CCTGTGGACCAGCATGTAGCTTTCAACTACTTCTCCAGTATCAAGCCTGTGTGCCTGCCACCATGCTCCCCACCATGATGATAAAGAACTCAGTTCTAAAACTGTAGGCAAACCCCTGATTAAATGTTTTTTTTTTCTTATGAGAATTGCCTTGGTCATGGCACCTCTTCACAGCAATAGAACAGTGACTAAGATAGTAATTCATCCATTGGTAGGACATAGAAACCATTGTATCAACTTGTAAGATCTTGGCTACAACAAAATTATAAATCCACAGTTATTTGTTTACATGTACACTGGTTTATCCCACCCTCAAACAATTCTATGGGTAGATAATACAATTTCTACTTTGGAAATGAGGGGATTCCACCAAATCATCTGCAGGAGTCATGTTCACTGTGATCAGTATATGTGGCAGGAAGATGGAACAGCTCGTGCTAGTGTGTTCATAACAAAGTGGAATGGGATTATAGTAAAGGATATGGACAGAATGGTTGGATACAGCATTATCCTAGTAAACAATGAGTGAGCAATGATAGTGGACCAGATAACTTGACAGGAGATATGCAAGTAGATTTGGGATCTCCTGCCTGAAAGACTTTGTAAACTAGGTCTTTGCTATGTATTTCAGGCTGGCCTGATATTATGTAGCCCAGGCTGGCCTCAGCCTCTTCAGTAAGGAGATTCCTGGTGTGCACTACCATGCCTGACCATTTGCTTATTCCTTATTCATTAAGTCAATGGTTTGTTAAGCCATTAATAGTATGGGATTTGTAGTCACATAGCTGGGTTCAAGACCAGCATCCACTATATGGTTGGTAAAATGACTTAATATTTATTAGTTGGTTTCTTCATCTGTAAAAGGGGTAAGCAGACAATAGGTGCAATCTCCGTGCCTTTGCAAATGCTGTAGTCACATCAGAAATACCTATCCTTTCAGTACTCAAAACCTGCCTGTGACCATCTCATCTCCAGAAACTATGTCTCTACCTAACCTTTCCCCATCCCTTTCCCCCTGTGTTCCTACAGTTCCCAAGTTCAATATTCCCAAGCCATCATTTTTACTCCCTCTTCCATCCTAGTCAGCTTCAGTTTCTGCTCTAGGCTTTGGCTAATCCTTTCTCCTCCTCTGCAGGATGCTTTCTGGCAGTTCACATGAGGAACTTCCGCATACTGGTTGGGTATTTCTAACGTTTTAAAACATATACGTCTAGAGCTAACTTTTTTAAAAGCATGGTCTGTGGTGTCCTCTGGTGACTCAGGAGCAGTTGCAGGTCTTCAGACTGTTTTGGCTACTCTGGGCTCAAATCAGCGCTTCCCACAACCATCTTGGCTGTGGCTCTTCCTGGGAAACACATGGACTCTTAGTACCTGTAGCTTCCCAGTGCCATCCTTTCCCCTATGTGACTGTTTTTAGAAATTAACTTTCATAGGTTATTTTTTAGAGGAATTTGCCTACCACTCCTCCTGGAGTGTCTTCAAGGCAGAGGTAAATTTCCACCCCATCTTCTCCAACAGGAATGGGGCATACTGAAGGGTCTAAGAATCACTTCTTGTGTGTTGGTGTGCAACAACTTTGGCACGTATCTCTGACATGTGTCCATGCTAGTACAAAAGCCGGAATTGTGGTGGCGCACGCCGGTAAGATTTACTCCAGAGGCAGAGGCAGGCAGATTTCCAAAGAGAAACCCTGTCTCAGAGAAAAATAAATAAAAGTAAAATAAATAAAGTAATAATACATAAATAAATAAGCCACGTAAAGATGGAAAATACACAGAGAGTCTGGATACTGTACGCTATTATGTTTTTCAGTTTTTTGATTGCTAAGAAAGGAACAGCTGCTAAAGTACACTTGATTATAAATGCTGCTGAATTAATCCAACTTCTATCTTTTGAAAATGCCTTGACTTCAAAATTTAAGTATAAGGATATGTTACTTGGAAAAGGAGTTTTCATTTATGTTTCTACAGAAAATGAAAAGCTGAGAATTCCTTCCAGGCTTTTGTGGTTTGACGAACCAAGACCCCCGGAAGCAGTGGACCAGGTGTTCCAACAATCGAAACAGCGAAGATGATGCAGTCTTACAGACCCCGAAAATACGGACTTATACAGGTTTCTGAGTTTTGTCATGATCCCCATGGTAAAAACAGCGCCCCCTTCCAGCAGGAAGCAGTTTGGAATGAGCGACGTCCCAATTCCCATCTTGTTTATAAATCTTTGTTTTCATTTAAATGGGATTGTTTATAATTGGCTAGTGATCACAGCCAATCTTTTTTAATGGTAAAAAGGGGAATTATGGTATGGGTATTGTTTTTAATTTATTGATACAAATTCAAGGTCAATTTTGTGATGTTTATATTTTTCCTCTTGATTAAGTATTGTGCTTATACTGATCTTTTACAACGTAATGCATAATTGAATACAGACTATAGATAGTTACTTATAATAGAATTTCTAGTTACATAAGTTAGGTTTCTAGAGATACAGAAATATATTTGAGATAGATAAACAGTCTTCAAACCTCTCAAAGACCTTCAGAAAATGGCATTTAAAATGGTTTAGGGCTTTTCTTGACAATGAGAAATGTCTGCTCCTGGCAGCACCAATTATGTCTGAGAGGAAGATGGGCATCGAAGAAACTTGTTATGGAGTTTGCTTTCAACATGGCAAGATTAGCCATTTGGGCAAGAAACTGCTCTTGCCTGTACTGCTTGACTGTTGTTGTATAATCTGGACATGCAGAACCCACAGGAAAGTGACTGCTGAACTCAGTCTTACAGGGTTCCTGCTTCATGGAAGAGTCTAGGAGACGTTCTGCAGGACACAGAGAAATGACTGACAGACTGACAGCGCAGATGGACAGTTTGAAATTTCCTGCTTTGCTTAGAAGTGTTCTAGACACATTGTGGCCTATGGGCTGAAGATGGATGCCCCAACGTTACAGAGGAACTTTGGATGACTGTCCAGGCAGTAAGATACCTCTGTCAATCCTAGTGTTTATATATTATCCTTCTGTGGTCTTTGATGGAGTTGAAGACAGATAGTTATAGTTTTCCTTAGTTATGATAAAAGATAAGTTACATATAGAACTTTGAACTCACAAGGATGGTATGGATGATATTTTCTTTAAATCTTGCTAAAATATTGTAACTATGTTCTTATTTGATAACTGTTCTGTTATATTCAATTTGACTGTGTTAAAGTTAAGACCTTTCTTTTTGTTTAAACAGAAAAGAGGAGATGTTGGGGAAGTCTTATGCTAATAAAGCACTGTCTGGCCAATAGGAATCTAGATAGGTGGGGCTAGGAATCCAGGAGGATTCTGGGTAGGAGAAACACAGGAGAGTCAACATGTGACGCCATTGGGGTAGGAAGTCCGGAACTATTCTCCGGTAAGAAACATACTTAGATTAACAATTATGGGGTAATTACTTAAGGCAGAGCTAGCCAGTAAGGGACAAACAAGGCCAACAGCTTCATAATTAATACAGTGTCTTGTGTGTTTATTTGGGATTGATGCGGATCTAGAACCAGGCTGGTGCGGCAGAGCCCAGGCGACTGGCGGGGGATAAACCAAAGTGGTTAGCAAAGGAAAAAGCTTCCCTTAACATAGCCTCTTAAATCACACACCAAACACAGCCCTAATTCTTACACACCTCTGGAAGTTGACATTATAGAGATATGTACCTCACAGTGCATACATACACAGCCAAGTTTCCATTTTCTTGCAAGCCTGTATCTCTTACACTCTGTAGTAGCAATTAGAAGCCCTCACTTTGACTCAGCCTTCCCAAGATGACCAAGTTCTCATTGATTTGTCTTCACTTCTCCCATCCACTGAGCCATGTTACATGTTCTGACAAGATTCTGGGTCTTACCAATCTCCCACCAAAAAGGTCCCCTTCACCTATCACACCAAGTTGCAAACTCTGTTCCTAATACTTAACACAGTGTCACCACGTGTGCTAGTTTCTCATTTGAAAAGCGAGGATAATATTGACCCTGGGTTCATTGTGGATTAAACGAATCCACACTATGGAAAGCCTTAAGATACTACTGAGCTCCCAGTAAGTTTCTTTCTAAGTGTTAGTGATTGCCACTACTATGATGACTCCTTCATAATTCTATGATTAGCATTCAGTGAATGGTAAATTAAGAGCAAATTCTAAGAACATTGGTGTCTGGGGTTGTTCCCTTTACTGTGGAGACATGGGCAGCTAATTCCTTTTTCCTTATGTCCCCATGCCCAGCACTATTGTTAGTATACAGTAGGCGTTAAGTATTGAAGACATATTTGAACAAAAGGAATGCCTATTCTGAGTCTGTTCACTGGCTCTCAGATGTCCTTGCCTTCTACTAGTCCTCCTCCAGCCCAGATGCTCAGACTTATCTCTAGCATACAGTAGACACCAAAGTGTAAAAAGATGTACCTGGGTTTATTTTTTGGCTTCCTCCAGGCTGACGCTAACTCTAGCTTCTCTTTGTCCCTGCTCCAGCTCAAAGTACATCATAGCCACCTCCTCAGTGCCCCTTCCCCCAGCTATTTGTTAATGGTAATTGTGGTGCTGGAGCTAGGCTGCTTTCAGTGGGTGGGTGCAGGTGCTTTCTCAGCTGGGTGCCAACGCTGATCACGTCCCACCCAGTTCACCACTTTGGCAGATCTGCCAGCTGAGAGACTCTGATGAGTGGGTGGCAACCTAGGGAACTTCATAAAGTAAGAGACAATAACTAAATAGCACATGGGCCAACCAAAAAGTTCCTGCCAAAGTGAGCAGCCAATGACAAAGCCCACCTTGTTCACAGTCTCCCAGCCCACACCTTACAGTCATGGCAAAGGCAGGCTGAGGCTGGGTACTTGCTTTCATGCTTTCCAAGCTGCAAATACAATAGAACAGAATATTTCGCAACAGGCCACTAATACTTTGCTCTAGAAAATTCTATTGTCCCACTTCTAAGAAAGGGGGCAGGTTTTCTCCCTTCTTTAAGGAATCTTAGAAGAGTTGAGAAAGGCTGGTTTATTGAGGTCTGGAATATCAGGGGTCAGAATGGAAGCAAGGGATTTTAGGGTTTCTCCTCTTCTGGGTCTTTGCAGGCAGGCACATGTAGACATGGCCGTTTCTCTTCCACCATCAGCTTCTGCCCCTGTAGCTCCTCACACAGTGGCCGTGGGGTCCCCCAGAAGGTAACATTCTTCTCACCCTGACCTTCGACCATGGAAACTGTAGGCCTGGGGTATTGGGGAAGCAATGGAGGAGAGAAGCTCAGGGAAGGCAAGAATGCATTGAATAAACTTTTTTTGAGAGTCTGATCTCAAACTCAATGATCCCCCTGCCTCAGTCTCCCAATGTGGGGATTGCAAGCAAGTCTCATAACAAAACCTGTTTCTTGTGGTATTAGAGATTAAAGTTAGGGTCTTGTAATCGCTAGGCAAATGTTCCACCATACCTCATAGCATAGCATTCTTCTTCTTCTTCTTTTTTTTAGGTCCTACTGACCCATCCCCTCTCTTCCTATATTTTTATTTGGAGAATGCCACAATGTTACCCAGGTTAGCTTTGAATTTCATTCTGTAGCCTAGAAAGGTCTTAAACATGTGGTTCTTTTGGCTCTAGCCTTTCATGTAGTTAGGATTACATGTTTGCACCAACACACCTGAATTAACAAGTGTGTACCTAACACTACATCTAACTGTGATATTGGGCTATTTCTGATAAACAGGAAAGATAACTTTGTGTGCCTGTTTCTCTCATCTAAAAATGGCAGTAATAAGAATACTTTTACCAGGCAGGCGGTGGTGATGCACACCTTTAATCCCAGCACTGGGGAGGCAGAGGCAGGCGGATCTCTGTGAGTTCGAGGCCAGCCTGGTCTACAAGGACCAGGACCGCCTCCAAAGCCACAGAGAAACCCTGTCTTGAATTGAACCGCCCCCAAGATAATAATACTCTTACCTCCATACCATTCTCTCTCCTTATATTCACCTTAGATTCCTATCCTAAACCATTCTTTCTCCTTCTCTTCCTTCTTCCCTTTTCTTTTATCTATCTTTCCCCACTTTATCCAAATGGATCCTTATATATCCAGGAAGGTTTTTGCCAGGATTATTTCTCCTAGTAGGTAAGCCCTCTATTCATTTTCATCCAGATTCACTCAATTGGTTCTTCTCTACATAGCCTTTAACTCCTCTTGAGGAACCAATCTCACCCCCATAGCTGGGAGATCCTATCCCAGTGACAGGCCTCTCACTAGCTGGGAAAAGTCCACTGAATCTTGATCTCTCTGGTATAAGGAAAGAATGGATAGCTTAATCCTTTCTAACCCCTGGGCCACTGTGGTGTCCAGTAAACACTTAGGGTGGTTAACCAGCTCTGTCCAGAACCCCGCTTACAATTGGGATGTTAGCAATGCTTTTCCTGATTTTTGTCTGCACCAAAAGGCCTGATTAGCTTTCCAGGCCCAGAGGGTAGTGACAATCTGTCACTTTTCCATGGATTCTATCATAGCCCATCTCACCTGGGTCCCTTCTGTCTGTAGATATGGGTTCTTTTAGCTTCAACTATTGCTTGAAAGGCCTTGGAGTACCTCAGGTCAGTGAAACGTGGAGGGGGTGAATGGAGGCCTGGGTGACTTACTAAGTCAAAGTATGCTAATGAAGACTTCAGTGGGGAAGGTCAGATGAAAGACTGCCTGCATGATTTCATTAGTAAGCAAGGAGCGCAGACACCATGAAGTGTTCCCTAATTGCTTTGCCTATTCTTTGTTTCTCTCCTCTTCTCTAAGCTGGAAGACTTGCAAGGTAGGTACCTTTGATGCAGTGGTGAAGCTCAGGTTCAGTGTAACCAATTCCTTTCTCATTCTTTAGCATCATGACCCCCTCCTAGGAACACAACGTCCCCAACTCACGAGAACTTTGGGAGAAAAGGTGTGCAGAGGCGCTGGCGGACACGGGTGGGGTTGGGTCCACATGGTGGTGTGCACAGACCCCAGGAACTCCACTGTGACCATGAACCTTTCACTGCAATGGGGGGGGGTAGAATGTCACATAGTCAAAACTGGAGGTCTCAATGGGAAAAGGAGACTGCAGGGATACAAAAATTCCTAGCACTGCTGCCCACCCTTACAGTAATGTCTTTGGGTTACTCACAGACACAGTTATGGATGTCATAGCAATGTCGAATATGCTGGTAATTCCCAGAACATCTCTGTCCATTAAACTTGCGGCCTCCACAGCTCCTTGTGCGTGACTGCTGGCCTGGGATTTCCTCACAGCTGATAGACTTCATGTTCACACGGCTGCAGTGACTCCATTTTCCCCAGTTTTCCCACTCTCCATTTACTGTAGACACAAGGGGCAAAAGGGTTTGGAGTCAGTCAAGGGCCTCAGGAAACGGAATGAAGGTTGTGGGAGGGAATGGGAGTGAACAGATGTGGGGATGAAGGAGCAGAGGTGAACCAAGGCATGAGGGCAGGCAGAAGAGAATCAGGAAGAAACAAGGCTTTGGCAGGAGTGGGCAGCACTGATGGTCAGGGGGCTTAAGAATGGGAATGGTGCCTACTGAGATGCTAACCGGGACAAGGCGTGGCTGTGTTACAGATGTGGTTCCGAGTGGCATCACCAGCACAGAAGAGGCCCCCATGACGAGGTACAGGGCGATCACATGTCCGACGTTCTAGGGTCTGGCCCAGGCCACAGGTTACAGAGCAGGGGCTCACAGGGCCCCATGGCCCCCAGCCACCAGCCACTGTTGGAGCAGCAAAGAAAGTACAAAGACTGGCCACTTATAATCATGCCTACTCCCCAGCTTCCCTTGCTACCACCACTAGACATGTGAGGCAAACTGTCTTCAAATGATGGGCTTCTGGTCACATGATACAAGAACTCTTATTTCCTCAAATGCCACAGTATCTTTGCCAGAAATCCAAAGCTCCACTATCTGTGTGCCACAGACCTTATTCCTACGTACCTGGACAGGGTGGCAGGCCACTGCAGCCCCGATGCTCATAGGCTGATCCTGAGCAGGGTTTCCCAGGGGGCTGGTGGGAAGGTGCTGGTGCAGAACACGAGCGGCTTCGTGTCTCCTTAGGCTCTTCAGTTCCGCCAAGGCAGGATCCTGAGCAGGGGCCCCAGGGGCCCCAGGCTGCCCAGGCTCCATGTGCTGTGGTAGGAGTGGAGGGATGAACTGTGGTCAAGCATGCTCAAGTCTTTTCCCCCTGGCAGTTTGCTGCTCTAACCCACCAGATCCATCCTGGATATCCCTTCTCTGTCCTGTGGCTGCCTTTACTTACTGGGGCAGACCTTCTGAGTGTCACAGGCCTGTGATTGCTGGGCCTCTCCTGGGCAGTGGCCCCCACACTTAGGAGCAGGGTTATTACATACTCGTTGACGGGTCCGGGTTCCTTTGGAGCAGGTGACAGAGCAAGGCCCCCAGGGTGCCCACTCAGACCAACCACCCATTTCTGTGGCAAAAAAAGAGATGGGAGGTGGGGGTGGGACTTAGGATTTCTTCCTTTCATGTGTGTCCAATATAAGCTAACTCTGTCCTCCTATCTCTTGTTCCTATTCCTGATCTACCAGCATTGCTTATTTGGCCTATGACAGTGGCCTTCATAGTTGTCCCTCTGCTTCAGATATGACCTGTCCTCTTCCCAAATCAAGTCAAAGTGAATTTCTCCCCTTCCCACAACCCAAATCACTCAAACTAAATTCAAATGTCATCACTGCTAAGCATTCTCCTCCGGCAATCCCAGCTTCCTCAGTTCCCCTTAAAACCACACACAGGGCTTTTGTCAAGTCCTCTGCACTGATTCCTCTGACCCTGGGTGCTGGGTAATAAAGAGAGTATGCCCACATTGCTGATCTTTCTTACCTGGACAGCATGGCTGGTCCTCACAGGCCTGTAGCTGCCACTCAAGGGTCCTAGGAGCCACCTTCTCAGAGCACTGCCCACCCCTGCCCACACAGCGCCTGTGTCGCAGTTGGGACCCCTCAGAGCATGTAACCGAGCAGGGAGCCCATGAGGACCATGGTGACCATCGTGGGGACCTACAGAGAAGAGCCCATGTTCCATCCTGGTATGAACTGACAAGATGGTATGTGGGACTATAAAGAATACAGGTTGGCACAGGAGGGCTTCTGGGTATATATTCAGGATGGATCAATGAGAGACTACTTACCACTTAGGGATGGAGGGGGATTGAACAGGAAGAGGTGAGTATACAGTAAGTATATGATAAATATCATTTCCCTTTATGACAAGGGCCCTGGAAATCCCCCCCCAGGGAAAAAGCCATACTCAATAAACAAATGCAAGGACGAAAAGCCCAGAACTTCTGCCAGGAACCCAATAGGCCACCACCCTGTACAGTTGCAGGCAAACAGGAAGTACTTGGTAAACAGGAGCTCAGAGGCCTCTTCAGAAACATCCTAGAGCTATGCTTAGCCTCCTGCATAGGACTGGGTATGCATGCTAGGGCTAAAGAGACACCCATTTTTAGCATGACTGGGGGCCAGAGCTGCTTTCCAAGATCCTCAAACCCATCATCTCGACAGTGCTACCTGGAATAATGAATCATAAAAATGTATCTACAACACAGTAAGATTCAATTTATGTAAACTGCAAGTCATGATTAGGAGACTTGAGGTGCTTTCAGAGATCAAACTGTCACAGAGGAATTGCACAATGAATGTGTCATTACAATTAAAGGTTTGAGTGTTGCCCTTAGAAGTTCCCCAAAGTCCTCCATTCCTATGATGGATCTATATACAATAAGCACTCAAGTATTATCTGTTGTAAGGTAGGAGAATGGAGCTACCACCAAAAATATCCTACTTGCACCCCTTCTGCAATATTTACAGGAAGCCCTGACAGTGGTACTTTTCAATGAGGGCTGATTTGGTCTCCACCAGGGGACATTTGGCAGTTTCTAGTTATGGTTGTATTTTTAAAAATTCTTCTCTAATGCAATACATTCCAACTATAGTTTCTTCTCTTTCCACTCCTTCTGCACAGATTCACTCTTTCTCTGTTTTCCTTCAGAAAGGAGCAGGACTCTCAGGGACGCCAACTGAATACAGCATAACAAGATACAATTAAGACTAGGCACAAACCCTCATATCAGGGCTAGGTGAGGCAACCTAGTAGGAGAAAAGGGATCTCAAGAACAGGTGGAAAGACACATCCCCCCTCCTACTGTTAACCAGTGGAGGGAGTTGTTAAAAACACTTAGGGGAAGGTCAGGTATGTTATAAAATACCCAACAATGCTCAGAGCTCATACCCCTGACAAAGAGCTCCAAATGGCAATAGTGCCAAGGTTATGAGTACTCTTAGAAGTCCAGGGAAAGGGAGTACAGTTCTAGATTGCAGGGCTCAGCCCAGGATCCCCCCGAACCTGCATGCCTGACAGGGACCACCACCGTGCTCCTGGAAGGCATAGGCAGCATTGAGACAGCAGTCTTCCACACTGACATCTCCCTCAAGCAGGCCTTTGCACTTGCCAGAGGACTCCTCATACTGGGTGAAGCAGAGCACAGGGTCTGAACCTGGAAGATCAGGGGAGAGGAATGAACAATCAGGGTTTGCTTGTCTGGGCATCCCTGCGAGGACATCTGGGCCCTCCCCCACTTACCTGTGGCTGGCAGGGTAAGCAATAGCAGCAGGAGCGATGGAGGAGCTTGCATTCTAGCAAGCATTTTGAACACTAGTCTTCGTCCTCTCTTACAGAGAGGAGGCCTTCCTTAATCTGGCCTGATCTGCTCAGGAAAGAGGAACCCAGGGCAGGAGGAACTGGGAGGGTATGACCTCTTTAGCTCTGACCTCTCCCTTGAGCCTTCTGCCTCCTCCTCTTCTCTCCCCTCTCTATTTCCTGTCACCCTTGGTCCTGCTCTGTCACCTAATCTTTGCCACCTAATACCCCACTCCACCCAGAAACCTCTTAGTTTTCAGTTAATGCATATGAAACAAATTCTCACTGAAGGGCACTGGAGCCTGAAAGTCTGAAGCAAGAACCACTTAGGTGTGTGACCTTAGACAAGTCACTTTAAATTCTCAGCCTCAGTTTTCCCTATTTTTTTTTTGAGACGAGGTTTTATAATGTAGCCATACCAGGCCTGAAATTTGCTTTGCAGACCAGACTTGCCTTGAATACACATTTCACACCACAACTGGCTCATTTTCTTACCTGTAAAATGCACAATCTTGACTATAGTGACTGAATCAACTTCAATGGGGGTGCTGAAGAAGGGTGAAATGAGGGTAGCCCTCCTCAAGTAGTCCATCAAGGAGAAGGTATCAGGGCACCTGCTTTATCTTCCTTCTTGAAAACCCACCTCTTTCCTAAAAGTGAGGTTCTTGTGGTCAGCATGTGTGTGGAAGGTCAGTGCAAGGGAAGTGAGAAAGGGAAGTGGCATTGTGTGGGAAGTGATTCAGAAGTGGGTTCGGGTGGGGTGGGGGGGGGGAGGTGTTTCAGGCATACCCATTGCCCAAGAGGGCCATCCGAAGAAACCCTTAGGGTCTACAGGGGTACAGAAGACAATCAGCTGGGCAATATTCTATGCACACCTAGGGCAGACAGCATTGGCCTCTAAGACTGTTTCCTTTTTTTGTAAAATGTGCAGACAAACAGGGCTATGGGAGGTACAGGCCTGTAATCTTAGCTCCTTCGGAGGTTGAAACAAGCAGAATGAAAGTTCAAGGCTTGCCTAGGCTACAGTGTGAGTTCAAGGCTACCCTGGCTAATTTAGTGAGATTCTGTCTCAAAATTAAAATTTAAAGAAGGGCAGGGTGGAGATGGCATTGCTCAGTGTGGGAAGGTGCTTGCTTTAAAGCCTGATGTCCTGAATTGAATTGCTAGGGTACACATGATGGGAGGAGATAACTGACTCACTTAAGTTCTTCTCTGACCTCCACATGTGCATTGTGGCACATGTGTGTGTTGCCTCCCCCCACCCAAATAAATGAAGTACATGTTTAAAGGCTGAGAGTAGCTAGAGAGCTAGCTCAGTTGGTGGAGTGCTAGCCTAGCATTGATGAAGCCTTTTGTTTGGTACTTAGCATCATATAAATTGAGCACACTGATGGATACCTATAGTCTTAGCAATTGGGAGGTAGAGGCAAGAGGAGCAGAAGAAGTTCAAGACTATCCTTGGCTACACAACAAGGTTTAAGGTATGTGAGATCCTGTTTTAAAAACAAACAAGCAAGCTGGATGATGGTGGCACACACTTTTAAATCCAGCACTCAAGAGGCAGAGGCAGGTGGATCTCTGTGATTCTGAAGCCAGCCTGGTCTACAAAGTGAGTTCCAGGACAGCCAGGACTGTTACACAGAGAAACCCTGTCTCAAAAAACCAAAACCAAAACCAACAAGCAAGCAAAGGGATGGCTGGAAGTTTAGCTCAGTGGTATGCCATTTGCCCAGCATTCAAGCAGCTTTGGGTTTGATCCCCAGCTCTGAAAACATAAAGCATATTTACAGCACCTGACATAGATCTGTAACTGACTAAAAATTAAAATACTTAGCACAGTGCTTGGCTGTATTAAATTGTTCCACATTTATTGAGTATCTGGTTGGCTCTGAGAATAGAGAACAGGACAGATAAAAATCATTGACTGAAAACTCACACTCCCCAGCCTAAGCAACACAACAGAATCACAGGGCTTCTCGGTCCAACTGCAGATTTCTGGGTCCCACCTATTTCTCATTCAGCAGGTGTGGCATGGGGGATCCACTAATGCAATTCTAACAAGCTCCTAGGAGACACTGATACTGGTTTGAAGTACTTTGAGAAACACTATTTGGTCCTTGATCCCTCTTTAGTTTTCCTGGTGGGTCATAGTTAGAGAAAAAATTTACAGGTGTCTTGTTTCACTGTTAATGACTGATCCATCTTCAGCCCATTTTTCTCAAGGAAAATCTGAGCTCCACAGACCTGATTTTTACTTTCTAATTTTTAAAAAACAAGCCTTAACAAATGAAATTCTAAAACTCTTTTAAAAACAGCACTCTTGGGACCTCAGGATGTAGCTTATCAGTAGACTGCCTACCTAGCATGAGCTGGACCTTGGGTTTGATCCCCAACTTCATAAAAATAAAGAAGTAAATAAAAACAATCTTTATAATCCACAAAAGGAGCTTGAGAAAGGTGACACTTTAGTTCTCCTGCAGTCACAGATAAGTACCATTCTACAAATAGAATCAAGATAAAAAATAAATTGAAAAGGGGCTAAAATAGAAGCCCCTCAAGAATCTGCTCTTGATTTGGGGGTTGTACTGTCTGGTTCTGTGTCAACTTGACACAAGCTAAAGTCACCAGAGAGGAAGGGGCCTCAGTTGAGGAAATGATCTAGTTGTAGGGCATCTTATCAATTAGTGATTGATGGGGAAGAGCCAAGCCCATTGTGGGTGGTGCCATCCTTGGGCTGGTAGTACTGGAATCTATAAGAAAGCAGGCTGAGCAAGCCTTGAGGAGCAAGCCAGTAAGCAGCACCCCCTCCATGGTCTCTGCATCAGCTCCTGCCTCCAGGATCCTGCTCATTGGAGTTCCTGTTCTGACCTCCTTTGATGATGAATGGCAATATGGAAGTGTAAGCTAAATAAACCTTTTCCTCCTCAACTTGCTTTTTCGTCATAGTGTTTAATCATAGCAATAGAAATCCTAAGACAGGGGTGACAAAATTTCTGTTAATATTTGTATCTATCATATAAGTGCCCTATTCTCTGAGAATATGTTTGTCTCTAACTGTGCCTTGAACAAAGGGATCTTGTTAAAATTCCAAGACTTCAGCTGTCAGTGCTATTATCTGGTAAAAACAAACCTGCGATTCTGCCTGGCTCTATTATTCAATCACCCTTTACCCTGGTAATGTTATAATCGATGTTTCCGTTGTTCCTACATGGCATAAATACTCACAGGATTCCCTGTGGATGAAGGTTGTCAACACTTTTTTTCTCCCACACACTTCTAAGGTATTCAAATTACTTAATAGATTCCTTATTTAAACAAAGAATGAGAGTCTGGTTTTGTTTATTACTGCCGGATATAATTTACTTATCTGTCCTGTCAGTTTCCATAAGTATCAGCCCCTCAAGGGAAGTTTTCTTTTTTAGGAGGAGGCAGATGAGACAGAGTCTAGCCTTGAACTCATGGCAACCCTTCTGCATACTGGGATTATAGGCTTGAGTCACACACATCTCGATGCTACTGTTGCTTTGAAACAAGGTACTTAAGTTATGAAACCCAAGGAGACTTTGAACTCATGGCAAACCTGCTGCCTCAGAATCCTGAGTGTTGGGAAGGGCAGAAACCTTTTGTCTAATTTGTTAGTTGCTAGGTCTTCAGGATACCAGACAGGCATGAGCTAATGGGACATTAAAGAAAATTTGGCATTACCTTCCAGCATCTATTTCAAAAGTCAGGACCAGATAAGACTAGAGATGATGCATGAGGAAGGAGTTCTGGGCAAAGCCCAGGTGAATCCCAGCATTTCAGGTTTTGAAGAACTGGAGGCTAACCCAGGAGACTGAGCAGGAGGGGCTTGAGGAGGACGAGGGCAAAGAGAGGAGGCCTTGGCATATCCATTCTTTGATCTCTCAGATATGGCCTCATTTGATCTCAATCACTTTCTCTCAAGTCTCATTTTTTCACCTATTTACAGAGTTCAGGATTTCTAGTCTCTACCAGAGCCTCTTAGGAACAGGCTCACATACTCGCTCTTAAAAAATACATTTATTTCTTTAGTATTTGTGTGTGTATAGGTTAGAAGACAACTTGCAGGAGTTGGTTCTTTCTTCTGACCATTAAGAATCCCAGAGACTCAGATTGTCAGGTTTGATGGTAAGCATATTTACCCATCTTGCTGGCACCTTTTTATTTTACTAGGTCAGAGAATGACTTTTGAAGAGTCAGTTCTCTCCTTCCAACATGTGGCTTCTGGGGATGGAAAATGAGTTACCATGCTTGTGTGGCTAGTTCACTTAATTGCTGAGCCATCTCATCTGACCTACATGTGATTTTGTGTTCATTTTATAAGATAATAGGGTTCTGTAGACCACACTGCCCTTGAACTGAATAGCCAATGATGATCTGGATCACCTGATACTAGTGACTCCACCACATTTGGCTTACATACATATTTATGTGTGTTTGATTACATAACTTCTCAGACACTGTGATTCACTCAGGGTGTCATTGTCTCTGTCACTGATCTCCAGCCTCATTAGTCTCCTACTAACAGACACAGAGACACACACACAGACACACACAGACACACACAGACACACACACACACACATCTTGTGTTATAGTCTGTCTCATTTGGTTAATACCACCAGTACCTTCTCTCACTAGGTCCCTTTACCACAAGTCCTATCATCACAGGAACTATTTATTTCCTTTGGCCTAACATTTTCTTACCTATACAACTACTGATGTACAGTCACCACTAAGGCTATATTTAATAGCCTCCACGTTTTTCACCACTAAGCCTCATGAAGTTTCTGGCACATATAAAATCACTTCTCCTCCCTCTATTCTCTTAAAGTCACTTAGGGTCACATCTCCAAGAATTCCCTATTTATAGCCTGTTATAGAATTACAGTCTCCTCTGAAGACTGTTACCTGAACACACAAAGGCACAGTACCTCAGACAACTCATCTTCCTCGTGTAGTAATGAATTTCTTCTCAATCACCTTTCACCATGTCAACTCCTTTATTCACAGGGTTGTGTTTTGTTTTGAGACAGTGTTTCAATCTATAGTCTAGGCTGGTTGCAAACTCACCATGTAGCTAGGCTAGCCTTGAACTCATGGTGGTCCTCCTACTTCAGCCTCCTGAGCACCAGAACTGAAGGTGTGAGCCACCATACCCAGCAAAGAGATTCCCATATATACAGCTTCTTGGGCACTGGTCTACTCACCCACTCAGTCTCACCATCATTTTCCCTCAGTCCCTTCTGATACAATACAAGGTCACTAATTCACAATTGCTACAAGGCTTTCATCAAGTTTCCTGTGGTCAGTTTCCCATGGCCTGGTCAAACACACCATCATTTCCCCCATATCATGGATACACTTATATATTTAATAGCCTCCACGTTTCTCACATACCCTGATTGTGGTCATACAGTAAGTAGTTCACTGTCTCAGTCTCATTTTGTTTTCCATATATAAGGTTTGATTCAGTTTCATGAAACGTTTCAGACGTACATACTTTTCAGATACCATTTAGTTGTCAAGTTTCTCTCTCACAACTGCTGACAATGACTCCTTGCTACTGCTGGTCCCATGTGAACAGTCTTTTTCTCCTCCTCACAGACAGGTTTGTGTTTCAGCTACTCAGCCTCACCAGAACCTGTGGGGAAGCTGCAATTGTTAACTTCAAACCAGTCTGCCACTCACTAGACTCAGGGTTACATTCTCCCTCCCTCCCCCGCCACACCTTTCAGACTTTAGCAGCCACAGTCAATCCATTTCTCAGTCTTTCCCATGGTTTCTAGGAAACATTTTATACACAGTCTCATACCTTGTGTCTTATCAGTTACTTCTTGGGCCTCATGGTCATTTTCTTTCACACAACCAACTTTTTACACATACTTCCATGACTTGATTTCACATAGTGAGATTTCTCATCTACAAATGGTGGTCCTTGACAATCTCCACTAGTTTACTGCCCATACTTTCACCCACAGTTTTGGTCACTCATTCTGTCCAAGCTATCAGTCTGTCAAACAGCGACAAATTTGCAGTCCCCGCTCCCTACCTATAAACAGTATGTTGTACAGCTCATTGCAGGTTGTTTTGAGACAGGAACTTGCTATGTGTACCCTAGACTGCTCTCAAATTCACTAGCCTTTGGCCTCAGGTTCAGGTGGGACTATAGGTAAAGTCAAGGTCAGTGTGAGACTCTGTCTCAAAGGAGGGGGACAGTATACCAGAGGACAACACCCAAAGTTGTCATCCAGCCACCAAACACAAAACCATGCACACTTGTGCACAAATATGTTTTGTGGTCACACTTCTGGCCTGTCACACACAAACCTACAGCCTTTTAGTTTCTCTCACCATACTAGTTATCAATCAGCAGTCTGTGTCAGTGTCTCTGACATATGCCACCACCCTGCTTTTCTCACAGTTAATCTCGGCCTCCCTTATTGTTTGTTATATACATTCATGCCTGTAACAGCTCATTCTGCTGACACCAGAAGAAAAAAATACCAACAGCTTTCAGCAACACCTTTAAAAATATATATTTACAGGAACAATTCCCCATTCTCTGGGACTCTTAGAAAAAAAGGTCCATTTTGGGGAAGTAAAAGAAACAGTGGAGACGAGTGTAGCACCGTCCCCCAAATCACCAACCCCCAGGTCTTCAGGCCTGGTCTGGGCCAGTGCTGACAGGAGGTGAGCCTGGGAGTTTTTTTAATCTACCCCTTCCAGCCTAGAATTGATACAAGACAGGCTTCATGTCTCCCCATTCCTCCCTCCCAACTCCAGGGACACTTAAAAGGGTCCTTTGTACCCGCCCGCAGGAAATTGGGGGGCTGGGAGGGAGGGAGCTGAAAATACACGTTCGGTATCAAAAATAAACACTTGGGGTTGGCAGGAAGACTGCCTCCAAATCCCTTACTACCCACCCATCACAGATAGGAAGAGATGCTTCCCTCTCCCCTATTGAAAAGCCCCATTTAAAAATAGATTATACTATCAAAATGGAAGAGAATGGGAGACAGAGCCCTGGAGTACTGGCTGGAGGAGTCCCCCAGACGGGGACCACCACCCAAAAAAACCCTCCATTGGGAGGTAATAGACAGGCCCCCAGGGGATTTGGAGACAAAGTAATGGCTTCTCAGGAGGAACAACAACAAAAGATTCCTCCTTGGCCAAAAGGTTACTTGAGAAAAGAACAAGCTGACTGAAAAGGTTGGGGAGGTAGCAATTCCTATTTTAACACTGTGATTCTTCTCTGGCTACGACTCCCAAACCATTAAATCATACAAGTGCTGCCTGGACTCAGATATTGCCAGGAATAATAAAACTAAACACACTAGCTCTTCAACCCATGTCCCAAAAGACAGACAGGGCATCCTCAACTCCCCAAGAGCAGGCTGAGAAATAAATAAAGAAAGATCCTTCTCAAGCCATACCCTGATTGTCTTGTTTTAGGGGATAAATGGGGAGGAAATAGGGGAGATGTCTTACTCACTCTCCTAAAAGAGTTAGGCCAGATTCTTCCCAGTGGCCTTCAAAAAATAAATAAATAAACCGCCCCTACCATTGAAGAAGGAGACGTGTGAAGGCGGCCACTGGGAGGCTGGCAAAAAAGAAAGAAGTCTGTTTTGGGTGGAAGTTAGTGAAAGAGCCTCTTCCCTAGGAATATCCACCCCACCACAACCAGAACGTGAGTCTGTCAGTTGAACGGTTTCTCCTTGAGATGACTAGCTGGAGAGTTCAGGAGCATGGATGGAGAGACTCCAGAAAGGGGGTGGTGGCAGTAGTCATGGCTTCTGGGGCCCTGGGGAGAGCACCACGGGGGTCGAGAGGCCATCCACGCTGATAGAAGGGATGTGCACCTGTGCGCTGCCACTGGATGGAAACTGGGGGAAGAAACATGGAGAGGTCATAGATGAGAACCACGCTAGTGACTCTCACCCTTCCCAGCATGGGGAGGGGAGAGAATCCTACCTGGAAGGAGAGCTTGGCTGGACTACGGGGTGCAATTGGACTCAGAGTGCTCCAGAAATGAATGCTGGGGGGCAGCGAGCTGGGTGTCAGCAGCACCGGGGTCTGTGGAGATGGAGCGGTGGAAACTCAAGTGAACAGATGACAAGTATGGGAAGACGGAAGGAACCTTTCAGCTCATCTACACATACCCCTCAGACTTCCAAGTCACTCCTCAAAAGTTTACAGACCTAGAGCGTAACTACTAAGACCATACCAATGACATCCGTCAACCTTTACAAAGAACACTCCTGCTAACCCCTAGAAGCCCACCTCCTGTTCTTGAGATTTCAATAGGCAAGACTACTCAGTGGGTTCTATCTGTGCACTTCTCTAACCTTGTAAGTGGCCATCAGAAGAACTCAACTTCCCACTATTAGATTCCATCCATATACCTCACTAGGAAACCCAATACCCAAACTCTGGGCCAAATACCCAGGCAGTTCCTCAGTGGCCCCCCTAGAAGCAAATCCCATGGAAAGCCCAAGGGAGTCAGGTCACCACAAAGTCCTCAGACCTGCCCTCCTTTTTGTTTCTCGAGGCAGGGTTTCTCTATGAAGCCCTGGCTGTCCTCAAACTTACTTTGTAGATCATGCTGGCCTTGAACTCACAGAGATCCACTTGCCTCTGCCTCCCTAGTGCTGGGATTAAAGGCGTGCGCCGCCACCACCTGGCTGACCAACTCTGCTTAATTAGCTCCTCAGAGCAGCTAATTACACACTACCACCCAGCCAGGCTGCCAGTCTTTGTTCCTTTGCAAGGCACTCACCAAGGTATGTGTGGGTAGCAGGGATGGTGTCAGTCCCGGCCCTGGTGCCTGCAGACCAGAGCCTGTTCCTGATCCTGGAGTCCGTTCAGGTCCTGGGCCACCCAGCAGGCTTGGGCTAAGTGGAAGTTCCAGGTCCCGGGGCTTCCGGCCCTTCTGGGGTTGGATGATCTCAGTGGCAGAGGCAGAGAGGCCACACACCTGTGCTGTGTTCTCCATTAAGATGGTTGGGAGCCGAGCCAGGAGGCCTTCCGAGGGTGAGACTTCTGGTTCAGCTTTGACAGCTTCTGAACCAAAGCCTACAGCTTCCAATTCTTCCCTAGGCCCCTCCACTTTCACTTCTGGGGGCAAAGGACGGCCAAAACCTGGCTCCAGACTCAACTCTTCCGATTTCTGGTTGGGGGCCTCGGGTGGGGTCAGGATAACCTGGGAGAGGGGTGGGCACAAAGGGAACACATAGGCTGTTGGTGTGGAGAATGTTTTTGTGTGGATCATCCAAGGATATCTCTAGGAAGATAATTTGATATTGGGGGCAAGGCTGTACATGCAGCATGTCCTCTAACTGGCCATGGGACTTAATGGAAGTGGAGATCCTCTGGGGCAGTGGCCCTGGGCTGAGACAACTTGATAAGGATGAGACTCTAGACTAGAGGTACCACTGTCATTCATCCTCATAACCACATTAATCAGAAACTCTCAAAGTGGGTCCAAGCAATCTGTGCCTTAAGGCCATCCTGGTGACTGTGACGAGTGGTAAAGCATGGCAACCAGTGCATTAAATGTGATCCTGTAAGGGACTAAGAAAGGATCCTCCCCGTCCTTTTCTGAAGGAACCTGTGTCCTCACTTCTACAATTACACCCTTTAGCAGGACACCTGTATCTATTTGCCCAGTCTCCTGCTTCATTTCAGAATTATGCATCCTTCCTCTCCAAGTCCTTTACTCAATTTCCAAATGTAGTACTCACCTGCAGGGGCAGACCAGCCTCTTCGGCCTCCAAACAGGCTTCTAAGGGGTTTGGACTGGTGCTCCTGCTCCCTGAGGGGGGTGCTGGTACTCCTGCAGGGGTAGTGTTGGGGAGCACTGAGGCAGGCCGAGGATGAAGGGGTGGCTGTGGCTGTGGCTGCAGGGACTGGATTGTGAAGGTAGAATAGAGGCCCGAGCGCATGTATTCGTTCCGGCTGCTGCGTGCTAAACCACCTTGGCCTGCCATTCCTGCACCCTTGGGTGTTCCTGGCTTTCCAGTGGCAGTGTCCCCTGGGGCTGCATGGACAGCAGCAGGGGCCATTGCTACAGTCGAGGCTACAGACACCTCAGGCTGGGGTGGGCAGTCTTCAGTGGAGCACCCTGCAACCTCTGGATAGGACACAAACTTGTAGACAAACTTCTGGCCGCTCACCTTGCGGATGATATTCTGAGAAGTGAAGAACAGGGTGGATGGATGGCCTTGAGGGCTGTTTCTCTTCTCCTGATGTCTTGCTTCCCACGTGCTCCCATTTCACTCATCTCTTTTAGGCTGCTGGATTCTTCCTCTCTGCCTATTCTTTCCTTTACCCCTCTGTGTCTCTGCCCAGTTTCAACTCCTTCTCTGGCCCCCCTCAACAATTCCATAGTGTCCTTCCCATCCATCTCCCTTCAAGTCTTCTTCTGTCACTCATCTTCATCTGCCTATCTCCCCTTCCCCCAGTGGTTACATTTCACAAGGTACCAATTTAGGGGAGCAGATAAGAACTAAGGACCTAGGTTTAACAGAGTCTGGAATGTTTTGGAAATTAACTACTGCAATAGGAAAATGAAATAACTGATATACATGTTGGAAGAGACTAAACTGTTGTAGATGGATAGGGAGAAAAAGTGATTGATATAGAGGGTTTTGCAACAATGTATTGATTGTGTGTGGGGGGGAATTAGTGTGACTGATTGTGGTGGCATGAGTATGCCATAGTACATGTAAAGGTCAGAGGACAAGTTGCAGAAGATGTTTTTTTTTTCCTTTCAGTATATAGGTCCCAGGGAATGAACTCAGGTTCTCAGGCTTGGCAACAAGAGCTTTTACCTGTTAAGCCACTCCATTTGCCAGATATAGTGGACTTTTTAAAAGCTAGTGATACTGATATGGAGTAGGGAAAGTTTGTTGGTTATTTGTTTTTGTTAACTCTATCTTAGAGTCATCTGGAAAAAGGAACCCAATTGAGAAAAAAATGCCTCTATCAGATCGTCTTTAGGCAAGTCTATAGGTATTTTCTTGCTGTGGGTAGTGTCATCTCTGCACAGGTGGTCCTGGGCTGTATAAAAGAGGTAGCTGAACAAGCTATCAAAGGCAAGCTAGTAAGTAGTGTTCCTCCATGGACTTGGCTTCAGTTCCTGCCTCCAGGTTCCTATCTTGACTTCCCTCCATGAAGAAATGTAACCTGTAAGATGAAGTAAACCCTTTCCTCCACAAATAGCTTTTTTGTCATGGTGTTTATCACAGCAATAGAAAGCATACTAAGATGCCAGGCGTAGTGGCGCACACCTTTAATCCTAGTACTTGGGAGGCAGAGGCAGGGGGAATCTCTGTGAGTTCCAGGTTAACCTGGTCTACAGACTGAGTTCCGGGAGAGAAACTGTGTTTCAACAAACAAACAAACAACCTACAAAGAAACCAACAAAAAAGGAAGCACACTAAGACAGAAACTGGTACCAGGCAGGGTTACTGCTGTGATAGACCTGACCATGTTATTTTGGAAAGGACTGTTGTAGCATCTGGAGCTTTGGGCTGGAAGAGCTTACTGTTCAGAGCTTCCAATGAGCTGTGGAAGAAACTTGGAAGATAATGCTGGGAGCAGTGCAGATGATGGAGGCCTGGCTTGTAAACTTTCAGAGGGAAGTTTGAGAGTCCCTCAGAGTCTCTAAAAGATCCACTTATTTGATATTGTGTATTAAGAATCTGTGGTTTCTGGTTAACTGGAAGTGAAGAACTGGTTGTGATTAACAAGAGACCAGCAAGACTGAAGTGAAACCTTTGCTTTACTGGGACAATTGATACTGATTACCAGAGGTTGAAAAGATTAGCTAGAGTAAGAAGAGCTCAGGAACATTGAGGTGAAATCTTTCAACAAGTGTTTCCTCAGGGTCACTGCACAGAAGCTGTGGTCCATAGGGGGCCCAGGCTACATATTATGCTGGTAGCTGAACTGGGCAATGTGTAAGAGTCTTCCATATGGTATCTGGTTTAGTAGCATGAAAGCTGCAGTACTGAAGGGGTCGTGGAGAGCAGCTGAGGCCTGGTACTGTGAGAGGCCAGGAGAGGTCACTGATGAAGGTGCAGCTTCAGGCAATAGATGTTCCAGGATTGAAAGGGTCATGGAGAGAAGCTGGGGCTTGACAACATGATAGGGTTAGAGTCCCCACAGAGAGCCTAAGAAGCCAGTGCTGAAGGCCAGTGGTGAGGGTGCATCCTCAGCTGCAGTGGAGACCCCAGCCTACCGGAGAGGCAAAGACTGTGGAACCACCAACAAGGATGGTGACAAGTGGTGTGATGTGAGCTAGCCTCAGCCTAGGAGACAAGCTGTATATGCTGCAGATGGTACAGCTGGAGAAGTAGAGCTGCCCAAGCCCTTAGGAGCCTAAAAGTTCATGAGTGAGTCCCAGATGCCAGATGTTAAGCTACAGGATTTAGTTTAGACTGTTGGAATTTGGTCTTGATTTGATTGTAACTGGTTCTTCCCTTTTGGAGTAAGAGTAAGAAAGTATTTAACTTGCTTTTTATTTTATAGGAGCTCACAGTTGAGAAACACTGAACCTTTAAAGTGTTTAAAAGACTCTGAAAATTTAAAAGTTATGTTTTATACTGTGATAATGATATTAACATGACGTCTTGAGGATAAATAAGAAGTTAAAGACTATACTTTAATAGTGATATATTAGTGTGTCAGGGTGACAAAAAGGGTCAAACGTCCTGGTTAGTTTTTTTGTCAACTTGATACAATCTAGAGTCGTCTAGGAAGGATCCTCAATTGAGAAAGTACCTCCATCAGATTGCCCACAGGAAAGCCTGTGGGGGAATTTTCCTGATTAATGATTTGATGTGGTAGGGCCCGGCACACTCAGGGTGTTACCACCTCCGAGCAGATGGCCATAGGTTTTATAAAATAAGCATGCTGACTGATCCAGTAAGCAGCCTTCCTCTATGGCCTCTGCTTTAGTTCCTGCCTCCAGGTTCTTGCCTTGAGTTCTTCCCCTGGCTTATCTCAATAATAGACTGTAACAGGAAACTGTAAGGGAAACAAACCTTTTCCTCTCCAAGTTGCTTTTGGTCATTGTGTTTATCCTAACAAGGAAATAAAGTATGATAGAAAAATCACTAAAGAGGATAGGCGAAGTCTTATTATTAGTACCATCTGGTTATTTAAGCTAAAACACTAAGAAAATGAGGTAACTGGCAGTAATTAGATAAGAGCATGAGAAGATGGTGTAAGCATGAGGAGGGTACCAGGGTTTTCTGGGGTGGGTCAGAAAACCTGCTTTACGATTTCTCAGGACACTGTATAGGGTGATTCTGTGTGTCAACTTGATACAAGCTAGAGTCATCAGAGAGGAAGAAGCCTCAGTTGAGGAAATGCCTCTCTGATATTCAGCTGTAAGGCATTTTCTCAACTAGTGATCAATGGGGGAGGGCTCAGTCCATGATAGGTGGTGCCATCCCCGAGCTGGTGGTCCTGGGTTCTATAAGAAAGCAGGCTGAGCAAGCCATGATGATCAAGCCAGTAAGCAGCTCCCCTCCATGGCCTCTGCATCAGCTCCTGCCTCCAGGTTCCTGCACTGTTTGAGTTCCTGTCCTGCTTCCTTCAGTGATGAGAAGCAATATGAAAGTGTAAGCCTAATAAACCCATTCTTCCCCAACTTGCTTTTTGGTCATGGTGTTTTGTTGCAGCAACAGAAACCCTAACTAAGACAGACACATATGGTTTGGAGGGAGGTCCTGGTGGTCTCAGAGGACCAAAATGGGTAGTCATTAATACTGCTTTAGAGGTTTGAACTGAAAAAGTAATGTATGAAATTGAAATATATGCCATAAATAACAATGACACAAAAAATAAGATAGAATTATTTTGGAAGGGCAAATGAGGAATCTGGGGACACTAGGTATTCTGCTGGAAGTCTTAATGTTGGTCAAGTATTTCACAGGGTATCCTTGTGTTTTCCAGAAGGAGAATGAAAAGGGATAATTACTAATATTCTTTTGAAAGTTTACATTGAGGAAATACGAAATTAGTATAAATATTGGGGGAGGGGAAATACAAGGCAGATCTTGAAGTCTGTAAGATGAGGAAATCTAAAAATTGATCTGCAATAGTGATGTAGACGCTGGGGAGCTGCTCTAGGAATCTAAGTGGAGTTGGCATGGAGCTGGCACTACACATGTTATTCTGGAGCATTTGGTTAAAGGCAAAGGCTTCTAATCCTAGCACTCAGGAGACCCAGGCAAGAGGAATGCAAGTTTGAGGTCATCCTCAGCAACACCAAGAGACCTGCCTTCAAAATAAAAACAAAGTAAAGGAATAGGAGAAAACAAAACAATTGATTAAAGATACTGGGGATTCTAGAAAATGAAGTAAGGAAACAGTATTATGTCAGGATGATTTTGAGTCTAGAATAAGAATATGGATTGTTCTATAATGAGAGAACGTTATATATGTAAAGTAACCAGGGGGGCCCAATATTGGTCTGAGGGTTCCAGAAAACACACTTATTATCTCAAAGCCTGCGGAGAACTAGAGGATGGGTTAAAAATTGGTAAATTTTCATATTGTTTTCAAAGTTATAGTTATAGTAATTGAGACAACAAAATGAAATTTGTAGGCCAAAAGAGTAATTCCAGGAATCAGGGTGATGGTGGTGGTGGTTTTGGTGTAGGGGACAGGAGGACAGTGGATCTGAGGCCAGTTTAGGCTACACAGTAAGTTTCAGACAAATCTAGACTACATTGTGAGACCCTGCCTCAAAAGGAAAAAAAACCAGAGGAATTTTCTGGTAGTAATTTTAAGGGTTTCCAGTCCTGGTCTCTGAGGCCATACCTTGTCATAGTAGTACCGCAAGGCCCGGCTGAGCTTGTCATAATTCATGTTGGTCTTGTTCTTGCGTAGTCCCCACAGACGGGCCACCTCCTCTGCATCCACCAACTTGAACTCACCACCATCCCGTGAGGTCCAAGAGATGATATGGCCATTACCTTGTTCTCTCAAAAGCTGCAGCAGAAACTGCCACAGCGTCACAGATGGGTCCATCACTAGGGAAGCGCTCACGCCATTCCAGGGATACCTGGAGTACAGCAAAAGTAATTTCTTTCGTTACCTTGCCTCCACCTCTGCTCCCAAATCCCACTACTATTCCCTAAACCGTCTCTTAAACTCCCCTAGCTTGGGATGTCCCTTGTATTTTGCACATGGGACAAAAGCAAATTAAAAGAAAAGATATTCATGTACGTCTGTATGTGTTTATGTGAACGTGTGTGGGTGTCCATGGAGACCAGAAGAAGGCAAAGGATCCCCTGGAACGAAAGTTACAGGCACTTATGAAGTGCCCAACATGGGTTCTGGGAACTGAACTCTGGTTCTCTGTGAGAGCAGCACACATTCTTTACTACTGAGCCATCAGTCCAACCCTGACAAATGTGTATCTTTAGGAGATAGAGGGAAGACAGGCTAATACAACCTGAGCCTCAAAGAGTTTCATATCCTAGTTGGAGTCTGACTATATTATGTTATATAGCAAAAAAGGAATTCTGAGATGAAATTAAGATCGCAGACCTTAAGATACAGCAATCACTATTTTTATTTGAGGTAACTGCACTGTATGAACTCTCAGAAGTAGAAAAATAAAGCTGAACCAGACTTTAGAGGCAGAAGGGCAGGAGAGGGAGTAGCTTCCAAACATCAGAGGGATTTTCCTTGCCATTCCTGACTCTGGAGAAGGCTCCAAGACAAGGAAGTTGGGCAGCTTCACAAACCTGGATTCTCAGCCTACAGTCAGTTGTCCTCAAAAGGACAACCTAAATGATCAGGAAACAATTCTCCTCTGAAAAGGATTAAAGTCCTGCCAAGATATTAATGTTAGCCTGGTGAGAACAGTGTTGGATTTCTGAGCTACAGAGCTATCAGACGATAAATGTATCATTTTTTTAAAAGACAGGATTTTCCTATGTAGCCCAAGCTGCTCTTGAACTCTGTCTCAGCTTCCTGAGTACTGTGATTACAGGTATGCACCTATGCACCTACACAAATGTATAGTTCTAAGGAGATTAAGTTAGAGATAATTGATACAGAAGTACTAGAAAACTAGTGAGATGTCCTCCACTTGACTCTCATCAGTATCTTCTACCTCATTAATTTCCTAGGATGTGCCTTTTGCTAGCCCCTTGTAAACACCGTTCACTGCATATGGGGCTCCTTTCCTCTGTTGTGCAGTCATCCTCAAAAAAAGACCACTCAAAGGTCCTTTGCTTTATGAAGCCTTCTAAATCTGAATACACACTCTTTTCTGTCCCTCACTCTCCCATTCTTCTAACTTGTGATTGTCCCTGTATAGGTTAGGCTTTTAAAAGTTTTCTTGATGAGCACATATTAATTATGCATTATAATGTGTTTCATTATAACATTTCCACTATAACAATTTTGATTACATTCACCTCCATTACCCTATCCTGTTCCCTGTGGTGATATATTATGATTTATTAAAGCCACTAGAGATGAAAATAGCAAAGCAGCCATACTAGTTAGCCATAGAAACCAGGCATACACCTTTAATCCCAGGACTCAGGATTAAGAGGTAGACAGATCTCTGTTAGTTCAAGGCCACACTGACTACATGAAATTGATCCAGTCCTGGAAATAAAAAGCTCACACAAAGGTGATCTTAGCACCTGGGACCACAGCCCTTTAATCCGAGCATTAGGGTTGTATATCAGACAGGAGCAGGGTCACAGAGCTGGCATTCAATCTGAGAATCAGTCTCTAGCTATGTTGAGGAGAATATAGCAGTCTGAGTGAATCTGAGGAGTAATGACGTCAGAGACTTTGAGGATTGCCCCGTTGGTGAGAGCTAGTGGTGGGCTGCTTCGCTTCTCTGATCTCCAGCATCAAGTTTGAACCCCAATATTGTCTCTGGGTCTTTTATTTTTCATACTACAGTTCCCCTCCCTTCCCACTGATCACCTTCCTCTTCCCAACTACGTTTCTTTGCATTTTAAGACTTTTTGTGATCCACTGAGTTTCAAAAGAGTTGCTCACAGGGGCATGGGTGAGGGTTTGTTTTCAGGAGCACAGACACCTTATCAAGTGGCTATACCACTGAAGAAAATGTCTCTCTCCTTCCTCCAGGGCCTATAGACCCTCAGTTAGTGGTAGGGCCATAGCCGCCTTCTTTTGTTCTTTTTGCCATTGTTGCTGGTGTTTTGTGACAGGGTCTTATGTAGTCAAGCTGTCTTCAAACTCTTGATGCTACTGCCTCCATCTCCTGAGAGCTGAGATTATACATACGCAGCACACACGGCAGGCAGCTGCTTCTTTCCTCAGTGCTGCAGATCAACTCCAGGGCCATATGTTAAGCACATGTTTCTATCGCAGAGCGTCACCACAAACCTATGTCTTTCTTTAAAACAAACCTTTTATGTTAGGCACTGCTCTAAGCAGAAAGGCTGGCCTACTGGACAATCAACCTCGGTCTAATGCTAGACTTCAATGGTTTGAATCCTGGGTCTGCCAGTTATTTTAGCTGTGCGATCCTGACCATCTTCATTAACCTCTTTGTACCTCAAAATTTCTCATTTGTGAAATAGGGATAGTGACATACCCATGTATAAAATAGGTCCTATGTACCATTATTATTGTGTGAACTAAATATAACAAGCTTGGGCTAAAAACTTTAAGAATTTTCTAATTTGTTCACAAACCCTTTTCCTGCCATCTCTAAATCCAAAAAGCTCTAAGAACAAAAGGCTTTTTTTTTTGTAATTCTTTTGGCAACAAAACACGATTTGAAAGCAAGCAAGCCCGACTCTGGTTTTTATTGATCCTCGCTTAGTGTGAATGTTCATACATTCTGCTGTAGAGATCTGAAAGCAGCTGGTGACAGAGCTGGCTGAGGGTGTTATGTAACATATCATATGCACACCCTGTTACCTTTCTAAACTGAAAAATTCGCAATTCTGAAATACATCTGGTCTTTGGGGTTTTGGATAAAGGCATGGATGTTATTTTTATAGACATTGACTCACCTATCTCATCCCAACTCTGGAAAGCAGGCATTTTCTCCTTTTGGAAAGGAGATATTCTTATTATAATATCAATAATTTATACACAAGTCAGCTAATTTATACACTAAGGCAAAAGATGTCCAAGTGACTTCACTATGCTACACTGCTGTAAGTGACAGCTCTTGCATTTGAATCAAGTATATTTCAGGCATCTCAGTGCTTCTGTTGTTTATGTTTTCTTAAAGACAGGGTCTCCTATAGCCTAAGCTAACCTAAAATGTGCCACACAGAGAGTGATCTTGAACTCCTGATTTTCCTGTCTCCACCTCCCTAGTATTGAAATTACAGGTATGGGTCACTATGGCCACCCGCATGGGCCTGCATCAGAACCTCTGAGTATGTATTACAGCTTCCAGTTTAGTGTTTTTATGGGATTCCTTAGTGTTTAAACGAATGGGTCCCTGTTTCTTGGGTCTTCTCTTGGGCTATTTTTTCTTTCTGTTTTGTTCAGTTGCAATGTGTTAGTTATTTTGCTTTATTATAATTTATTATTATCCCCTAGAAGTCTGTTCCTTTTCTTTCTTTCCTCTCCCGCCCCAGACAGGGTTTCTCTGTGTAGCCCCAGCTGTCCTGGAACTCATTCTGTAGACCCGGCTGGCTCAGAGTGCTAGGATTAAAGGCATATGCCACCACTGTCCTGCTTCCTGTTTGCTTCCTTTCCTTTTTTTGAGACTGGGTTTCTCTGTGTAACATCCCTGGCTGTTCTGGCACTTGCTCTATAGATGAGGCTGGCCTTGAACTCACGGAGATCCTCCTGCCTCTGCATCCCCAGCGCTGGGGTTAAACGTGTGCAACCACCAATTGCTTGCTCTGCCTGTTTTCTTATGAGAGACAGAAAGGGAGTGGATCTGGATGGGAGGGGAGGTAGGAAGGAACTGGGAGGGGAAACCGTAAGTAGAATATATATTAAGTGAGGAAAAAATCTATTTTCAATAAAATGAAGAACAAAACAAAAATCACCACAATTGGTTAATCTTAGGTATGTATGGGTCTCAGATGACAGACATTCCCTGTCATCCCATCACTGCCCTTTCCAATAAGCAAACTGGAACTAACCTTGAACCTTCTTGTCCCTGTGAAGATGAGTCTCCATCAACCAGCTGTTCGCCTGGCTGGGAATGTTACATTAAGAATTAACAGTCTAAGGTTTTGAAGAATTTATTATTTATTCTTTAATATTCATGAAATTACAGTATGATCCTCATATGTCTGAGCTAGTTCAAGGTTCATTTAGCAGACAGTGTTAGGCAGTTGTCCAAATTACAGTCCTGAGGAACAGTGGATCAGAGTCCCAACCTCAAAGCTCTAACAGACTAAATATACCCAAGACTCATTTCTTTCAGAGATCCAGAGTCCAGTGTGACTCCTAGTGGCGGAGACAGGAAATTTCACCAGCTACTCTGAGCTACTCCAAAATCCAGCAGCTAAGTGAAATTTGTCCAATTAGTGTCCAGCCTATCAGACAAGGAGCTGAACTTGATTATTGCTTCTCTCACACAACTCCTAACCAGAATCCTAGTCACCTGCCCTTCCCAGAAGGCTTTCCTTTCACTCCTTGCCTCATTTACTGGGTGCCTCAAAACAGCTTGGAACACAACAGACAGGAGTCCCTGAATACTAGTATAATTCATACATTTGTGGGCCAGTAAGAAATGTCTCAGAAAAGAGGAAAACACAACACAACCAACTTCCAAAAGGTGGACTGTATTATTGCCTCCATTTTCCAGACAAGTCAGCGCGGTGTGGAGAAAGTAGTTAAAGAACTCGCCTAAGACCTCACCTCTGGGCAAGAGGCTGGATGATGGACAAATTCTGACTTAGCATTCCTAGCTACTCAGGGTTGGTTCTCTATGAAGAAAACACAGCTGGGCAAGATCCCAGAATGACAAGGATGTGAGCAGGACAGGCTTTCCTGAGGAAGCGACATTTGATGGAGGGGAGGTAGCAAGTCATATTGATGTCCATGGGAAGGATACTTTTGGTAAAGGGGATAGCATTACAAAAGCTCTGAAGTGGCTCATGGTTTCTAGGATAAGGCCCACTTTCTGAGGCACACAATGTTCTCTGCCAGGAGTGTTATTTGCTCCTGGAGTAATTCTATCATACCATCAAGTTCTAGTCCCTAGCAGGTAGAATTAGTTTTTCCTCTGCACGATCCAATGCATGAAGTAACTTGTTTGTCCCTGCACATTTGTTCTGTCCTGGTCTTCACAGCCCCACACTCTGCCCTATTCCGTCTGTGACTTTGAGCAAGTTGCTCGGCGTCTTTATGCCTGGTTGAACACCTCTAAATAGGTGTTAAAGAATTTTTAAAAAAATGTGACTTCCCTCAAAGACTTTTTCTAAGGATTCAATGTGCCAATATATGTAAAAGACTTAGAAAAGTGTCTCTAGCATATGGTAAATAATCAATAAATGTTAGCCCTTAAGTTGTATGTTATCCTTCTCCCTCCCCCTCAACCTTCTGTAGGACTCTACCACCCGGCTCTCATCATTTCTATGACCTTGTCTTTTACCCCTCCCCTTCCAGGCATAATCTGACTTCAGGGGCTTTGCACTGAGTGTTCTTTCTGGTATAGTCTTCTCTTATACATTATGGCTTCTTCCTCTTTTCTTCAGGCCTTAATTCATGAGTCACATTTCCAAGTGTAGCCTGCCTTGTCCCTAAATTTCAAACACCTTGATACTCTAGTCCTATGTGCCCCACTTTATGCTTGTTCCTTAGCATGTGTATAACAGCTGTCTAATTTTACTTATTTATACACTCTATCTCCCTTGCTTGTGCAGGGACTTCTGCCTATTTTGCTTCTCCATATCGCCAGCATCTAGAATGAATGTCTGGTACTCTCTAGGTGCTTAGAAAATACCTTTTAATATTTAAACAGCCCAAACTAATACCTTAATTCTTGCATCCCTTTTCTTCTTCTTTGTCTGCCCCATCCCCATACTGATATCTGGGATACAATTTTAATTTTCAGTTTTGTGACAGGATCTCACTCTGTAATCCAAGTTACAGAGTGGTCTGTAACTCACTTGGTCTGAAACTCACTTGGTCTTCCATCCTGGAAATACATATAGTTGTGAGCTATCATGCACAACCTAGATAAAACATCTCCCTCTCATTTATTTGTGCAACCAATTCTTCCCAGTACCTACTGTACAGAAGGTCTATTTTTAGATGAAGACAGAGCATTGAATAAGAAGATAAACCCTGTAAGTCCCCATAGGACCTCCATCCTGAGGAGGAGAGCAGACAATATATGGACTGCATAGCTTCCTAACAGTGACAGAATAGAAAGAAACAAAGCAAGCATGAAAGAGACCTGAGCCCTGCTGAGTGGGCAAAATCAAATGGTCAAGGGGAGGGGTGGATGTTGACTATTTTGTTTTCACATAAAAAGTATCATTTGAAACATTTTTGTCCATGTGCCTTTATATAGTATATTCCACACACCATTATGACAAATACATGTTTCACTGAAAGAACACTACCCAGATGCAAAGAAATGAAAACTTGCTCTGAAACATCTTTTCTCTTTGTGTCTTTTCATATCACCAATGTCACATTTCTGTTAACGCATCCTTTTGCACTCACCTTACAAATCAAATGGCATTCTTAGAAACACCTGTAGTGTGTTCCCTGCACAGTGTGATGAAAAAGTTCTTTTGGATATGGTAACTGAATGGGGCCTTGGAAGTTACCACGCAGAAATGTGGGAATAGTGTTAAGGGAGAAAGAAGAGCCAATGCAAAGGCCCTGAGGCTGGCCCGTACATGCTGTTTTCCAGAAGCGCTGAAGAGGAGGCTGTACCATGGGTCTGAAATAGGGAGGTGAAGGAGGTAAGGTTAGAGAGGTGACTTGTTTAATTAACTCACACATTTTTTTCTTCACACTGGAAAGGATTATAGTTCCTGACTCCCCCTTTCAGGATAGTACAAGAAGAAAGTAGTTAAGCCATTCACATAAAGTCACAGCACTGCTGGGACTGGGGGATGATAGGTTTTGAGACCAGTGTGGAACGGACATAGCTCTGTTGACAGAAGGAACAGCAGAAACAAAAGTCTGGTAATTGGAACTAATTTGGCTGTTAAGGAATGTGCTCTCATGCGGGATGCAATGAGGCAAGAGAGGGGCATGTCAAAGATGTTCCTTGCTCTAAGCAGTTATTGGACCGTTTCTGAGTCAGGTCTTTAGTCTCCATATGCCCCAGTTTTCTCAGCTGCCTGTCTCACAGGGCTGCGATGGAAAGTGTAAAGCTTAGCTCCGACTGTCATTAACATCAGTACCACTGTACTGTACTTGAGAACTGTAGCAAGGCAAAAATGTCTACGAGAAAACATGTAAACTATACAGCAAAAGTCCCTGGGTTTCACAAGTACACAGAATCACCTATGAGATGGGGGCAGGGAAGACTGATCTGACACATGGAGAGGCAGAGGGAAATGAAGTACAAGCCCTATCTTCCTTGGGGAGGGATTGCAAGCGCTGGATTTAGAAGGATATGACAGAAGGCAAAAATTGAGGTGGCAGGAGGCTACTGAACAGAACCATTATTACAAAAGGAAGGAGATATGAAGCTGAGTCCTATGCAATAGCAGAGAAGAAGAGCCATCACATAATGACCAAAATGAGGGACAAGACAAGGCCATAGACTGGGCTGCCGAAAATTAAAAACATAAAAAATACAAAGCACCAAACTGACCCATTGTTAAAATGAAGCCGCTCAAAGGCCGGAGTCTACAAATAAGGGAGAAAAGTTAGGGCGGTATTAGCTAGAGGGATGTGAATGCAAGCATGCAGACTAATCCACAGTAAGATGGGGGCAGGGGGAGGAGGTAGGTAAATCGTGGGTTTATGCACTGGGACTCAAGGGGGCAGAAATAAGACTCAGGTGGACTCACTGTTAAACAAATATAAGGTCTCTGGAGGGGGTACAGCGCCACAGACTGACTGACTACAACAAAACATGAGGGGCTCAGTAAACAAGACCACAGAGGATTCCCTTAAAGTTGAGGCTAGGAGACATGCAAACACTTTAGAAGGAAGACTGGACAATATAACAGACTGATTCCCAGTAAGTGGGGGTTGGGGAGGGCAAGACCACGGACGAGTCCATTAAGTTGGGGTAGGGGAAAACATAAGCTCGCAGACCGATCCATTATACAGAGACAGCAGATTAGGCCATGCTCAGATCCACTATAGGGGGCAAAGGATCTGGCAATACACACACAGGGGAAATCAGTTGGTGGCAGTGGAGCCAAACACCGGCAGGCTGGGCCAAGCCATATCCCCTGCGCGGGGGCGAAGATACATAGATAGGGTCACGGACGGGGCCCTCCACCTTGTGGGCCTGGGGCTCACCTGTGTGTGGCGCGGCGGTGGCAGCGGCAGCTCCGGGGGGCGGGGGCTCCATACGAGGCCCCACCGCCCCCCAGGCCCGAGTTCCAAGGCGGTGGCGGTGGCGGTGGCAGCGGCGGTAGCAGCAGCAGTGGTGGCGGCGGCAGCACCCAGAAGCCGCCCCTGCGATTCCCCACCGCTCACGTGGGCCCTCAGGGGAGGAGCCGAGCGTCCTGCTGCTCGCTGATTGGCCAAAAAGTCAAGGATGTAGGCACAGCTACGGGGCCTGGTGGTGGAATCCTAACAGAGCTGTGACATGATTGGCTTGAAGGGGATTGATGGACTGTGGATGGTCAACTAGAGAGGCATCGGGCTGCACTGGTGCTTCACCCTGATTGGGTCAAGGAAGACTTGTAGCCTAGTGGGCAAGTGCCAGGGTTGGGGCGGGGGAGAGGGCGCCTGGTTCATACTGATTGGCCTAAATGAGATTGATGGCAGACAGACAACCCCCTGAGGATGAAGGGGCGGTGGATGGGCTCTGCTTTCAGCTGATTGGTAGACACCCTGAGACAGCTGCCAAAACACCAAAGTAGGTGGTGCCGCACACCATGCGGTTCAGCGGAAACAGGACTTATTTAGAACAGGGAATAGCAGCAGGGTAGGGCTTGACTCTGTAGGAGTGTAGGATAACGCTATGGTAATTAGCTAGGCAAGACGAATTTAGAATTCAGCAGAGGTAGGAGGCCAGATATACAGGAGAGTTGAGGGGTGGAAATTAACTGTCTGCAAGGGCAGGGTCAAGCTGTAGCCAGAGTTTATAAGGGTGGAACCTGGTTCTTAGTTATCTAAGACTGGATTCTAGGTTATAGGCCCTGTAGCAAGAAGGGCAGGATATGTGCCTTTTGGTGGAAACTAGATCTATTTAGAACTATTGGAACCATTTAGGGAACAAATCAAGGTTGTGAAAGAGAGATAATAAACCTTAAGATCTGAAACAGGACTAATTAATAACCATGGAAACAAATTACTTTGATTTGGCACTTTTAAAATTTGTTTCAAGGGTCTCATGTAGCCCAGGATGACCTTGAATGTCTGATCTTCCTGCTAACTCCTGATCCCACTCAGGTAGACCTTCTATGAATTTAGCACTTCATGTATGATAGGCAAGCACTCTACCAATTGAACTTCATCCCCAGTCCATGAATCAGTCCATTCTTTATAGTAATACAAAGGGCACAGATACAAATACCTAGGAAAAGGGATTAAAAGTGTGAGGACGTGGGTCAAAGTCCACAAGATAACAAAAACGGGCAAAGCATAAAGTCAGGTGGAAAATACAAATTGGAGGCAAGACCTCTAGAGTGTTTTAGAGGTTCGGCAGAAAGGATGGGTCTTCCAGTAACTCTGGTCTCCAGAACACTTAGTCAATCAGTGAGTTAGGGGAAAAAGAAGGGCTATGTGATTCCAAGGCATTTCAGGCTCTTTAATATTAGATGGGATGAAGCCGTCAATGGGAAGATTGTTCTGAGAAATTCTGCAGGCCTTGTAGTTCTCTAAGTCCCTGTAAAAGAGGACAAAGTAGACTGAACAGAGGCTGGGTCCAGGTCCTGCCCCGGGTTTGGTGTTTTTTAATCCCATGGCTTCAATTTAGAAGGAAAGATGACCCCTCCCTTCTTTAGCTTTCTCCTACAGGTTATCACCCTAAAAAATATTTGAAGGGTAGAGTGAAGTGAGCTGTTCTCACCTCTAGCATCATGTGGATATGGGCCTTGATATTCATGGAGTCCTTGGTGAGGCTGTCGCTGAGCCTAGAAAAAAGGAACAAGAAAGGGCAAAGTGGGCCCTACTTAGGCTTATGAGGGTGACTCTTCCTCATCACTTCAAGAAATGCTTGCATCCTGGATGATTTCCACGTGGCCTGCTCTTATGCAGAGATGCCTGGCTAATTGGAATGTCCCCACTTACAAATTGAGGGCAATAGGGACAGTGAGATGGCTCAGAGGGCAAAAGTGATTACTGTCAATTTTGATAACTTGAGTTCAATCCCAGGACCCACATAGCGGAGGAGTGAACTGACTTCCAAAAGTTGATCTCTTACCTTCACATTACTCACAAAAATGTAGTAAGAATTTTAAGATTAAGAGGGAAAGGGAAAGGGAGGGGGATATGGGGTCTATAAATATGATCAAACTATACCTGAAAGAAACTGTCTTTATGAAACCCATCACAATGACTATATGATAATAAAAAGTAAGGATTATCAGATAATCTCTGTATGCCAGGCAGCTTTAAATATTGGATAAATAACAGCAGAAACATCATTAAATGAAACAAAATTCTTTGTCTCCTGGAGCTCCTTAAAATTCTAGTTTTTAAATTATTTGTCTGTTGTATGTGTGTGAAATGTAACCCTGAGTGTAGGTGCCCACAGAGGTCAGAAGACATTGGATTCCCTGGAGCTATAGTTACAGGTGGTGGTGAGCTGCCTGATATGAATGCTGGGAACTGAACTCAGTTACTCTGGAGAGCAGTATGTGCTCTTAACCACCAAGCCTTCTCTCTAGCTCCTCAAATTTTGGGAGATAAGCACAAGCAACTATGTGTTATATCTATGTATAAGGAAATAAATAACGAAGGAGAAGAGGTAGGGAATGGAGTCTTCAATTTTAAAGAGTGCTCAGGGTTGGCTTCCCCGAGAGCTTTCCTTTTGAGAGTATATAGCTCAGCCTGGTTTCTATTTCATGATCCTCCTGCTGATGTGCTGAGATTACAGATGTGTACTACCACACTCTAAAATGAAGAAGTCCATAGAGTGTGGGGTGATAAGGAAGACAAGTGCTCCAACCACAAGTAGTAGCCAACACAAAGGTGCTAGCCTTGTGCTTGGTATGGTTCAGGAAGAATCACAGCCAAGAAACCACTGTGGCTGGAGAATATGTAAAGGAGGATCCTAAGAGGTGAAGCAGAGGTAAGGAAGGAGGCAGAGGGTGTAAAGTTTACAGGACCACAGTAAAGACCTTGGCTTTTAAAATTAAATATGGTGGGAATAAGGGGACAGCTGAGAGCAGAGGATAGATCCAAACTGATTGGAGAAATAAACTCATTAGGGTTTAGGGTTTCAAACAATCCACCTGGCCATAGGGCAGAGCACTGAGAGAACAAGAAACCCAAATGTGAAGTCAGTAAGTCCAGTGAAGAGGGTAATCAAACAGTCCAGGTGAAAAATGGAGGCTCAGACCACAGGGAACAGTACAGTTGAAGTAATGAGAAATGACTCAGGGCCAAAGGGCTGAAGTCAGGTTGAGAAAAAGGACTCTAGGAAGAGGCCAAGGCATAAAAATACTTGAGCAAATGGAGATGCCTCTAAAACCACCTTAGCCCTGGACTGCTGAGTTCCATAAGTCAGCCATCTCTCTCCCTGTGTAAGTCTGCTTAAATCAGGTCTCATCCAAGAGAATCCAAATGTATACAATGGGTCAAAAATGAATACAGTGGGCTGTGCAAGAACTTTCTGAAGATTAAAGAAACACTGAACATGGAGTGAGAGTTAAGCAGTAGGATGGTCTTTTCCATGAAAGACCAAGAGGCACAAAAGAGCTTTGTGAAAAGTGGTCATTGTTAGGAATTCAGTGAATAATTAAAGATGGTATAAAATAGTGTGGAAGCATCTTGATAGCATGATAGGAAATCCAGTTTAATTGTGCTCATCTGGGTAAATGAAACTAAATACTCCACAAAAAACCCCCAAGGCAAAGGGATAGAAAGTAAAGTTGGAAAAAACCACTATGAACTCACCTATATACTACTATTTCCCAAATTTATATTGGCAACTATCTTCGAAAATCCACTTCAGTGTTTAAGTCCTACACTGAGCCCAAGCTCTTCCCTCCTGGTCTGCTCATCCATCTCAGATCGAAGTATGGTTGCTCACCAACAACCTAGAGTCTCCTCTTTCTGCAGGATTAGCATTGAACTCAGGACTTCACACACCCCAGTTATGTACTCCACTACTGAACTACATGTACCCTAGCTTCAAGGTTCCTCTTTGTTTTTCACATCCAGTCAGCTATTCAACACCACAACTGTTCCATTCCAAGCAACACTTCCCATCTCCGTTATGTTCTGTCTGTACCACTGTCACCATCTATTACACTACGTCATGGCCTTATTTACTTATTGTATCCTTTGATCAGAATGACAGTTTCGAGGGCAGACTGTGGTCTGTTTTGTTGCTTGCTGTATAAAGAGGAGCAGAAGAGGATGTGGCAGAGTGGGGACCCAATGGATGTTGAATGAATGAAGACTCCTCCATTCAAAGGAACCTAAAATGTTTAAAAAAGCCTATGATTAGAACAGGATATGAAGCATGGCATTACTGATGGCGACCAAGAATATCTTTTCTCAGTCATCTTCATAGTTGCTCTGTTCACTCACAATAGATAGGAAAAGGAAACAACCTAAATGTCCTCCACTAGATGAATGGACAATGAAGATGTGGTATATATACACAACAGAATTCTGTTCAGCTATAAAGAAAAGTGAAATCAAGAAATTTACAGCCACACAGTGGTGGCACGTGCCTTTAATCCCAACACTCAGGAGGCAGAGGCATGTGGTTCTCTGTGAGTTAGAAGTCAGCCTGGTCTACAGAGCGAGTTTCAGGACAGCCAGGGCTGTTACACAGAGAAACCCTGTCTCAAAAAAAACAACAAAAAAGAAACTTACAGGTAAATAGATGAAACTAGAGCATAATACACCGAGTAAGGTAACCCAGACCTAGAAAGACAAACACTGCAAGTTTTCTCTTATTTGTGGATGCTAGCTCCAAATCGTTAGCTATGAGTATATAAGCTGGAATAACCAGAGAAACCAGGAAAAGTAAGAAGGGACCAGTCAGTGGGGAGGAGAAGAAAATATAGAGAACGGGACAGTAGGTCACAGGTGTTATGATGGGGAAATGGGAAAAGTTGAGGAATGTAAGCATTTTGATGGATCGGATGGGATGGACAGGGACGGATTCTGGCACTTGGGAGTCAAGGAATACTGAGTGTTACAGCTTGGATGGAAAGGTATTCTGGCACTCGGGAGTCACAGAATACTAAGTGTTACATAGCTCAGATAGAAAAGTATCCTGGATTTCGAGAGCCAAGGAATACCACAAGTCACAATAAACATAGCAGCTTGCAGCCCTGCTTCAGGGAAAGGCTTCCCCAGTGTATCAGCTCTGCACTGGCAGGAGAGGGTTTCCAGGGCGAAGTTGCTACAGTTCAGCTCTGCTCCCAAGAGAGACACTCCACTCAGCCAGGGGAAGGTTTCCCCCGCCCTCCTCGCTCTGCTCTGCCGAGGCCCTGCTTGCTCTGCTCAGGGTCTTCTCTGCTCCACTGTAAAAGAAGGTCTCACCCAAACCTCATTTGAGGGACTTATTGGGAGGGAAGAATCCAGGAGAGTCGTTGCCCTCTGCCATCCTGGCATGAACAGCCACAAGCTGAACAGACACAGTGTTCGTATAGGGATTCTTGGGGGGGGGCAGAGTTTTCAGGGTGGGGATTGGTCAGATTTCAATCCTGAGCTTAGGATGGCTAGAACTCCTGCTCAGGGATTGGTTAGTTTTCTGCACAGGGTTAGGGTCAGATTTGGCTTTGGTTTCAGGGCTAAAGTGTGTTTCTTTCTCTGGTCCTTTTTAGCCTTTTGGCTCTAGTTTTAGGACCAGGGTATATTTCTTTCACTGGCTCTGATTCCAGGGACAAAGTATGTTTCTTTGGCACTGGTTTCAGGGTCAGGGAACATTTCTTTGGTTCTGGTTGCAGGGCCAAAGTGTGTTTCTTTGGATCTGCTCAAGGTGTGTTTCTTGGGCTAGACCTTTTTCCCTATAGGGAGGCTTTATCTGGGGAGGGAGAGAAGCACCCAGTAAGAATGACAGGAGACATAAAAAACACGAGGATAATTAAAAAGGCCATAGGGAAAACTATTTTATATTTATAATATATGTGTGTATGTATTTTAAAGTATACACATGCACATATATACATACATATTACATATGTATGTATGT